ACATACACACACACACACACACACACACACCTTCCTCCTGTCCCGCCCACCCTTTTCCCGCTTCCTGTTTAGGTGAGAGCCCAGTACTGTTTCTCAGTTCTGTGACCGTTGAATCATATTGTTGGCAATATTATATTATTATTATTTATTGTACAATGACTTTATTTAGATGGGCAATTTTATAATGAAGTGACTATTTCTCCGAACGCTCGGGTAAATAAACTTGACCTCTATTTCTCCGAACAGTTTCAGTTCTCGAGATTTTTTGATTATTTGCGAGAATTCGGCGCCATCTTTCATTCTGCCATTTATAAACATCATACCCACACCCTGATGTTCTACTTTCCACTTGAAATTGGGGGGACCAGCTCTCTGGCTTGGTCCCTCTCAAATGTGAAATATTCCTTTACATCATTTGGTAAAGTGTAATTATAAATCACACATATATGCACCCCACTCACATTGGTTGTATGTTTAGTTTAGTAAGAGTTTTACAGCGCTCGCAATTACATAAGATCATATGAGCGCGCATTGGTTGTATAATAGTTGAGTTTATATTTTAAAAAACCTCCATGTCAAAAAGTGCTGGTTTGCAGTTTAAGATGAAATTAGTTTAAAAACAGACAAAAATCAACAAGAAAAATGCTATTATGTACACACAATTTCTGGGGGTGAGACAGAAGTGATGGATTGAAAAGATACAGTACCATAGAGAATGGGATTATGCTAAAAGTGCATTTCTTCATCATCATCATCATCATCATTATCATCATAATCATCATAATCATCATCATCATCATTCCCCACTCCTTCATGATGTTCAGTTGAGAAATGAGTGCAGTAGTTGTGAAGTTGTGAGTGATTATACATAAATAACATGTATTCTGATACAGATTAAGATATATATATATTGTGCAAAAATTTTTTAAAGGCCTGATGCTAGCTTTTCCTTCAGTTAGGAATGTAAAAAAAAATCTGTCTTTGCTATGCATTTTTAAAAATACATGATGATAATGAAATTTCAACTCCGGTATTGAGAAAAAAAATTAGCTCACTGAAATCAATCATTTCACGTAAACAAGTATTATGCTGCTGTATAACATTGTGCTGCTGCTTTGTATCGACTGCTCAGTGAAAGACTGTATGTCATTTTTCAATTTGGTGTGGTGGAGTCTCACACGAAGAAGTCAATCGTAGAACAGCAAATGGTCTGAAAATTACTTTCTCTCTTATTCTCTTTTTCCTCCATTTTGTCAGTGAAAAATAATGATTAGATCTATATCTACTCTGAGTAAACAATTTTGTTGAGGATGAGGACGACTGGGACTGTTGTGTGTACAGTGCAAATTCAAATAGATCTAGATCTAGATCT